CTTATCTCTCCTAGGAGTGCCCAGCAACAGCTTGTTGAAAGCAAAGTAGGCTACAGGCAGGTCACAAGCTTTGAGTTTATTGTTATTCAAATCTGTAATGAATGCGCAGTTATACTTGCATACCATCTAGCCCATATAAAACAGTTGTTTCTATATATATAAAAAGGAACCGTTCATTAAATTAAAAAATCCAAACCCATTCTTTCCTGCTGACTAAGCACCATCCAGTACCCAAATGTATACATCATGCCACCCTCATAAGGGATAAAAAAAAAATGCATTCAACTACCCGCTTAACAAAGATGTATCTTATTTGTGTATCACTGAGCTGTAGATCCTCAAATCATCTCTGAATTGCTGCTGACACTGTCCTTCCTTCTGGAGGGTGGCTACTTTCGTTCACCATGTCCCCTGTGTGTGTTGTAAAGTATCCACCGCTCCAACCTCGCTCATGTGATGGACTACTATCTCACTTTTAGTTTACCAATTTGTATTGAGATTGTAGTCCATCACATGAGCGAGGTTGGAGCGGTGGATACTTTACAACACACACAGGGGACATGGTGAACGAAAGTAGCCACCCTCCAGAAGGAAGGACAGTGTCAGCAGCAATTCAGAGATGATTTGAGGATCTACAGACGAGTGAAGCACACATAAGGTCCAGTTGTGTTAATAGGGTATATGGATGCATTTTTTAAATTTAACAAATAAAGAGCCTGTTGATTAACCCTTCTGTCCCTAAGCACGGGATTGAGGGAAAGCAGGAGTGTCACGTGTCTTTCATACCTAGACCTACCAGGGCTCAGACTGGGGGGAAGCAGCACAAAAGGTGTTAGGCAATGGAAGGTGCCTAGTCCATAGTGAGGTGACGTGTACCTTTTAATTTATTGACAGGTTTGGTTTACGCTGCTTACTGGAATTAAGTTTAGTTGGTAGATGGGTATTGGTATTGTATATAAGGGCTCTCCTGTTTTACCCCTATATACATATATAGGATTTTCTTCAATTGCATTGAAAAATGCATGCATGCAAGCTGTGTATATGCTGCTTTGGTCAATTGCCGATGGCACCAATCATTAAGAACCAAGCAATCTAAATATTTCCCTTCCTACTATATAATTTGTATATCTATACAATAAAACTGATTTCATAGGGACAAAGATTTTATATGTACTTCCATACAATACAGACTTGTTCACCACTATACTGGCCAATCAGTCTTCTTTTTTTTTCTTTAAAAAAAAATAGTATCAAAATGCTAAACTAAATTTTACCTAAACTAACCTTGTGAGCAGATTAGGAACTTTTTCAGCTAACACAAATCCCTATATCCAGCAATGCTGTTCAGAAAACTGCAGTGGTGCCGCCAATCATACAGCAATCCAGTTGTCAGTATGGGTTACTGCACTTTACATATCACTCATCTTGTTTTTAATGAACTTTCATGTTTTCTCCATGGAAAACAACAGTCTTTTAGTCTTGAGTTGCTTATGGTGCCTCTACATCATCATAGTAAAACTGGCCATACACCTATAGATTTTTGATCCTAAATTTTCATTGCTGCCAAGAACCCTCTTTGAATTCTAGCTCAAATTGCCCATCAAGAACAGACCAATGTCGATTTCGATAAGCACTGAATTTTGTCCATCGATGGAACGGATTTGCGTTTGCGCAGCGTTCTTGCTGCAATTTTTTTTTTTTTCTGTACGAAAACGCCACTAATCCATCGATTTTCATACGATTTGAAAAAAAAGTTTTCCAGCCTGACCGATCGAGGAAATTCAGCCAGGTGTACAGTAATTAAAATCATTGGTGTACCATAAACTGATCAATTATCGTTCAAAAGAATATTCATGACCTTAAGGCCTTGTGCACACTGTATTCTGTGTAGAGCAAACCTTTACAAGGCATTTGCAGAGCTTTCAGCAAACTTTTTTTTTTAACCATTAAAGCCAATGCAATTTCTCACTTATTTGCTCCCTTTTGGTCTGTTAAATCAGATTTTTAAAAAGCTTTTAATAGTGGAAGTACAAAAAAAAAAAACCGCACCTGTTAATCATATCACAATTTCAGAGCTGTCTACACAAGAAGCCAAATTAGTGCTCCAAGCGGGTTGATTTACTAACCTTATAAAACACGCCACAAACATGTATACACCTCTGTAGTGTGTTCCCTCCCAGCATGATCTATGGGTGGAATCTAAACACCTTTGTAGTGTGTACACACCCAGCAGGTGTGTTGTGCAAAGCCAAGCATGAATTGCAAGGTGATGTTGTGTAAATTAGCTCTATGTTGTGTTGCTTGCGTTGATGAATGCAGGAATGTAAATGCATGAGCTAACCATTTTTGTCTAAACTATGAAGCATTATATATGAAGCATTATATATGCATCATGTGCATGATTTTTCTATATATGGCATTAGTGGAAATATGCTTTGAGAGACTTTTTGGTTGATAAATATGTTTTGCTGTGTAAAAATCACACACACCTAGTGCGTGCGTTTAGGTTAGTAAATCACCCCCCAGGTCTCATCTTGGAACAGAACAAAGCTGGCCATACACACACCTCAACCATTGATGCCGATTCATGTAAACCAGTCAAAATTCAAAAGGGCAGGGCAGGGCAGAAAATTGTCAGTCAAACAAACAATAACTGCAGCCAACTTTACTCACTATGTTTTACAGAAAAGGGTAGGGGGAGAGTTGCAGTAGTTTAGTGGAAAGAAAAAAAAAACACAAGGCTGACTTGACACAAATATGTGTGGTGTCAGCCCACATCAGGAGCAAAAATAATTAAAAAAAAATAATTATACTACATCTCTGCAATACATGATCTTTATAGTACCATTCAGCTACAGTAATGGGGAGTGCCAACAAAACTACTGACAGGAGTCAGTTAGTAGTGGCTATACTTGAAGGTTGTTGAAAGCCTGCTTACTGCTGGTCTAAATTGATAAGTCAGCATTCCCAATCAAGGTCTGTGTTTAACATTCCCAAACTGGAGCAAAATGTAACTTTAAAAAGCTTCAACAAAGCTGAAAGCTTTGAAAAAATGGATGTAGACACTTCTCACATACAAGCTACAGCCCATCTGAACAAGGGCCTAAAGTAGTTAATTTTGGTACAACAATATTAGTAACTGCTAGCAAATCAGGGTTATTGTGAATTGATGGGGTTCATCCAATACTGAAACACAAAAGATGTCCATGATTTAAAAAGACTGTCGCTTGCCCATGTACCCCTTTCCCAATGTGACAGTGTACAGCCCTGGCAATTGGCCATTTAGGCCAAAGCACTATCAAATAGGGAAGGTCACATGCTCCCCTATACATAGAAGCCGTTCTCTTCAATGGAGCACAAATGGGGGGGCTATTAGCAGGCACCATCACTTCACCCTGAACATCCCCCACTTGCTAATATTCACTATGCTCTCTTACTGCTTCATTGGAACCCTCAGTAGATAACCGATCCTTCCATTTATGGCAAAGCAAGTAACCATCCAGAAGTCAAGTGTTCAGCCCCAACTGGTCAAGCATGAGGCTAGAACACTATTGCATGATTACATTAAACCTGTAAGAGTTCAGCCACTACCCTTACATTAGGATTGAGTACTTCAAAAGAGCAGTGGTGGAATGCAAGAAAGGTTAAAACCCATATTAGGGCAAGGTGTTTTTTTTTTTTTTAAACTTTGCTTCCTCCCATCAAGAAAACAATTTGGATCCTCATCCAGGTTCCAACACCTTGAAGAACTAGGAGGGTTAATTGAGAAGACTGGTCAACCAGCACACACATAACTGGTGTGATTAGTGTCCTCAATCACAATTAGATAGTAGCATTTCTTGATTAATTAAAGGCAGAAAGGATACCAAGACACCTTATAGACCAGTTCTAAAGTAAAGCTAGGACAATTGCTTTAAAAAAAAAAAAAACATCAGGGGAAAAGCTTAAGGACTAGCAGAACTTATACTTAGGCAGAATTATATATATTGTTTTTTAACTAATTATATTGGGTTATTTTTCATTTTTTATATTAAAAAACAGGATGTTTGGTTTTAAGCCTTAATAGAATTATTATTTTTTTTAAAACACATTCTGGCCTTCAATGTCAAGGGTAAAGCCATGACCCTAAGCCCATTCTTAGTTTTTTTTAAATCTAAATTGGGGCTGTGGGTTGTTCCATTTCATTTGCCAGTGTACTAGTTACACAATTTTGAAGATCCTTCATTGAAAGAAGAAAAATACACATAACACATTAGTTAAAACATACATTTGATTTGTAAGTTATCACTCTATACAAAGTTATAAAATAAAAGTAACAAAACAAAAAAACAGGAATTTTTTTTTCTTACACTGTATAAAATCTGTGGATAAAATTTCAGTCCAAATCAGATTAATCCAGACTTCTTCAAATCTCAAATAAACCAATGCCTTAAGTTGAAAGGTTTCCAGTTACACGTTGCATTACTTGGGGTCCCTAGCAGTTAGCACTGCATTCCTTGGAACAGCCGTCTTCCACATTAAAAGAAAAAAAAAAAAACCCCTAACATCCTTTGGTATCATGAGAAATCAAATGACAGTGTTAAGTATTTTATATATACACACACAATATATTGTGAAGAGTCTCCTTTTAAAACAAGGAAAAATAAATGACGGGACAATGGAATGTGCAGTATGACGTTAAATCCCTTGAGCACGTAGATGATCACCATACTTCTGGTAATGGGTCCCACTGAAATACACCAAAATGATTGCCATTGCAATATACATGCTATATACTGGCAGTGCTCTACTGCATGCTGCAGCCTGCCAAAACAGCTGGAGTATCTGATGAGCACTGGACACAGAGTGCAATAGGATAATGATCTGGATAGCTCTGGTTGCTGGAGATGAAGCAGATGTAGAACAGTGGATCCTTTACATGGAGGGTAAATAAAAGGCAAAACGGAGGTTCTGTATTCTACAATTTGGGAAGTCTGTTTTCTTCCAAATATATTTTTTTCCTTCTTCATTTTTAAAAGGCCTTCTTCAGCTCCAGCTGGTCTCCTTTATCGAAGCACTGTCCGAGCACGAGGAACAGTGTGGCTGTTGGAAATAAAATATCAGAGCTGATTAGAATCCAAAACAATGACCAACACACACAAACAGAAAAAGAATAGTCTAACGTTAAGTGAAATGACAAAATTAAAAAAATAACCAAAAAAAATAAAAATAAACCACAACACACCACACACAGACCAAACTAAACCAAGCAGCACACTGGTGAGGCAAATTAACAACACTCTGAGTAAATAAGAAAGCAGAAAACAAGAGGCTGATGGTTTTCATTGTTTCCAGTCAAGTATTGTTGTATTAGTGTAAGAGCGGCACAAACAAGCAGATTTAGGAAGGCTGAAAGAGCTGGTCTAGCACATATTGCAGGCAAAGAGAAGCAGAGCCCGGCGAGTACCATAATTTCATTAAGCGCATTTGGTGCAAAGCAATCCTTTTCTTCCGCTCAGGAATCACGCTGTGGGGAAAGTAGAAAGAATGGTAACAAGTAATGAAACAAGCGAAAGCCTCATTGTTATGAGAAATTTCAGAGGGAGTAAATTATTAAAATGAAGATATCAGGTACGAAAGCACAGAAGAAAAAAAAAAACCCCAAAGATTAATATTTTTAGAAAGCATGTAGTTCTAGTGGAAAATTAAAAATCGAAACCCTTCAATTTTTTTTATGTAGGGCCCAATGCTACTCAAGAGTTAAAATCCCACAAACCAGAATATAGCTTTAAGATTCTGTCAATACCAAAATACTAAAAATATGTGGTTTTCAAATAAAAGTATAAAAAACACATTATATTGAAACACATAAAAATTATAGTTAGTTCTACTGTGGCACTGAACATTTTAAGCTGAACTCCAGGCAAACATAACATTTCAAATTTCACTTGGTATTAAGCTCTTGCAATGCCCTTTACAGCAGCATTTACACTGGCAGAGGCATGACTGGGAGCCAATCAGGTGCGCTCCATGCAAGTGTGGGCAAGGAACATGCTAATAAAAAACAGAGAGCAGACCAAGTATGGAGATAACAAACAACCTGCTTCTGCTCTTTCACTATCCAATCAGCAGGCTAAAGGGAAGGGAGGAGGTTTTGGAGAGGATACCAAAGTCTTATCTTCCACAGGCAATAACAAAACAGGGGCGACATCCACCCAGCTGAGCTGTATGGATCTCAAGAATGGATAGGCAGACATACAAATCATTTGGCAGGTAAAACTGTTGGCCACTTGGCTGGAGTGCAGCTGTACAGCCCTAACAAATATAATGCATACTACAGTTTTTATATGGTTTCCTAAAACACAACAAACTACTTGAAATCCACAGCTGCTTTTGACCATGGTTTTGAAGATATCTATAGTTTAGAGAAAGCTAAACTATCAATAACGCACAGATAAAACAAAACCCAGCTGAAAGTTTTTCAAAGAGAAATACATAAACCTATAAAATGTAGAAAACCGCCATTTGTTAAAACTGGAAGGTCACCCAAAGCTGCTCTCTGTCATACTGCAAGGCCACGTACGATGAAGGATTCACCACAGGAGAAAAAACTACGCAATTTGGGTTCTGTACTTAAAACAAAAATAACCCCTTGTACTGTTTAATCATCATAGTAACCTGTGTTTTGCCTAAACTACTTAGATACATTACATACTTTGCAAAGCGGTCTGTATTAAGCAAAGTGAACACATGTATCTATGAGAGTTGCTTGTTCTTACTGGTGAAAAACAGCTGCCAATTATGTTTCATCAGGAGCCAAAAAAGGTGAAAAACTGAAGTGTGCATTATAAATTTACAAGTTTTTTTTGTTTGTTTTTTTTTTTATTGGCTAAAACCAGGTCTCCACAATTAAGCCTCTTAAGAGCAATACCATTGACATGCTAGGATGGGAAGTACACGCTTACCCTCTCAAAGTGCTGCTCCCTGCAGAAGACCTGGTTGTCCTTTTTGTAAAGGATGAACTGCCAGTTAAGTCTGATTTGGGGTTTTGCACACTGGACTGCAGAATTACTCTGAAAAGTTCAAAATAGAATACAATGATGTGGCCTGAAGAACACACACACACCTCGCGTTCAAGGTGCACACTCAGGTTTTAAATATGGACCACAAATCTGGCATCAAAATCAAACTTTCAAAAACATAGCTAAATAAAATGTCACCACTAATATATTACTTAGTGGTTCTTTTTAAAAAAGGCCTGATCTACAATTTCCCTGATAATGCCACATGCACAAGTGAGGGAAATTCTATCTTACAGACACAACTTGTGTATATAGCCTCACCAACACCGGAAAGTACCAGTGCATTGGCGCTACCATTTTTCTAACAGGGAAGATAAAGTCAGTAAGTCTGTTCTCCCCATTATGTTGCCCCTTCATCATCATCAACTTTGTTATGAACATTCTTAGTCTGATGGAAACCTTGACTATCACACCTCACTGTCTTGGCACACTCCTAATCATGAAGAGACCTCAAATTGAGGGGGGAGGGAGGTAAGCAGAAACAGCTCAATTTTACCAAAAAGCTAAACGCTAAGAAAGGACGTCTGGATCTGATGCTATAGGGTGGATGTGAAAGTTGAAAAGTTTATATTAATAGGAAACTACTATTTCCATAGCATTGGTGAACACTTGTTTACAGCAGTGCACATTCTTTAATATATAAAATGGCACTAAAGGTTATACTTCGGTACAATTGCATGTGCTTGGATAAAGAAGCATTTTTAGACAATATTATCTAACCCACTTGGATTAATATAGAAGAATTTTGCATAGTGAACCTCAGAGTAATATCACTTATAGGACAGATAGGGCAAGCCCAACATTCAAGAAATAAAGAAGCTCATACTGCTGACCTATTCTTGAAGGTCAAGGCTCTAGTATGGTCATCTATACAGTTGCTTGCAGCAAATGCTTAGCTACTGACCCAGAAATGACATGGGCATATCAGACGTCCTTACCCTGTATATAAACATGGTTTGTTTCAAACCAATAACGCATTAAATAGTAAGAGAAGGATGTGCTGCAAGAAGGGCTTATATATCTATCCATGACAGGCTATTTTAATATGTTACAAATTTCCTATTCTTTTGGGACAAACTCTGTATATATATTAACAGAAATGGAGAGTATAAAAACATTATCTATAAACATTCTACAGAATGGACGTGTCATTAATTTGGTTTATTATAGAATATAGAATTACAAGTGGGAATGTTGGTGGTTTTCACACAATTTAAAAGGAGAAATATGGGATGAGTGACATGGAACTCATCCCAATAGTTAAAGGAGACATGTGACACCGCAGCTACCACACATCGGCTTTATAGATCGAGAACTGAGTAATCACATAGGCCTAATCACTCCCTGCAAAGAGCGGTAATGTTCATGACAATCACTGCTCTCCGCAGGGATTTGCCCCTCCCCTCTCCATTCCTCCACCGCTGACTGGAGGGACAGATAGGAGAGGGGGCAGCCATATGCCCCTCTCAACACACTTTTCCTTTAAAATGTCACTGTGCCATAACAGCTTTTGCAAGTAAACATGGCAATTTAGTGGTAGGTATTAAAGGACCCAGATATCAATGAGCATAAAATGCTGTAAATATTGCTTGCATCTATAGTTTAATACTGGTTGGATTCCCTTATTCACAATTGTACAAACAGATCTGTATATGAACATCTAGAATCTGCTTATTGTCTTACTAATTTAAAGCAGTTATCCAACAATACAAACCTAATGCAGAATGGAAACTCTGCTCTTAGTTAGTTCTAATACATTTTATCAATGGTTTAAATACCTTCCAGAAATGGATCTGTTACAAAAGACCACTAATCAGAAAAAAAAACAACAAAAAAAACCCACTGACATGGAGACATTACAGAAACACATTAAATTACTATTAACAGTTCTATTTGGCTACAAAAGACCAGAAGGATTTTTAGCTGCACAGAATGTATGTCACTATATAATGCCAACATTCCAGCATCTGACACTTGAGGCACCCCACTGTACAGTGAAAGTGGATCACACCAGTGATCCGAGTGGAAGAATGCCTTTAGGAAAGGATTCTCGAAACTCTGGGCCAATGCAAAAAACATATGCTTGCATCAATGGGCTGAAGCAAGATTAAGGTCAAAAATGTAGAATCAAGAAAGCAGCAACTGAGTCTTAAAAGGTAGCAAACGATACAAACAAAAGTAATTTCTAGATGTTAAGACCATGAATGCAATCACGTACATCCTGTTGAAAAAAAAAATTAAGCAAAGGGATCCCCCCTCGTCAAGCTTTTAGTTCCGTCTTTCCCTGCTGTGGAGATTCACCCCTCTATTTATCCTGGTGACCATTGTGATGGGAAATCCAAAATGTTAGAGTTGTCACCACCTTACAGTTTTTTTAGATTTCTCAGGGATTATTGGCGATTTATCTCTGCACATCTGCTATGGTTATCCCGAATGGGATATTTTTATATCATGGAGTATACATTGACAACGGAGCATTATATCAAGTCCATATAAGAAGTCAGGCAATGACTCAGCCCACCAAACCACACTAACAAAATAATGGGATTCATTAATTTCTTGTAGTTATTTAAGAAAAGCAGGAATTCAGTGAATGTTGGGTTTACAGCTACCTACAGGTGGATTTAGAGACTGGCAATCAAAAAACAGTGCCAGTGCGGTATAATCCCTCCTACTAGCTGCTGCCTTAGTTTTGTGGAAAAGCAGCAGTACCAAGAATATGATCATAGATACAGTTCATTGAGAGACATGGGTCCCATCCCTCTAAGACTTGGATTTTATGACAAGTACAAGACTCATTGCGAGAGCCAAACAGGCCTGAATATCCAGTTGCAAAACTCAAGTAACCTTTAAAAGATCAGGTGGCAGCCTTGCAAATCTGGGCACAGCAGTCCAACATCAAAAACACAAGAGGCGTTAACAGACCTAGTAGAGTGCGCTTTCACAAAGATCCGGTTCAGGGACCATTAGGAATGACAGTCAGCCTTTCTAATGGCAGCATAGATAGATATGCACCACACAAATTAAATCCACACAATGGAGGGAGATCTCTTTTTGATGAACTAAGGCTGGACAGAGGGAAGGAAGAATGATGTTCTGGTTTGGGTAGGAGGAAGGCTCTGGGCCTCTACACCACCTTGATCCCTGAAGATCGCCTCTTTGTATTTCAACAAGGATTGCTACTTGGCTCAAAAGGCAGTTTTTTTTTTTTAAACAATAGAAGAACAAGGCTTCAGATCACACATAGCCATAGCAAAGCACACAGAAGAAACAGAATAAGAGACATCCTGTAAAAAAAGTCTAAAAGGTATCGGAGACTGGTGGTCTCTGTGCCTGGATCAACATTTGTTCTCGAGTACCATCAAGAGTCAGATTTTGGCACTTGTGATCTAGTTTCATTTTTTTTTTAATAAAGGCCAGGATGTGTCCCACTGAAAATTTTCTAGGGTGAAAGCAATTTGCCTCACACCAAGCAAAGTATGCTTTTCATGTGCAATTTTAGACCCTAGGGAAGCAGAATGTTTAGCCTTTAGCATCATGATAATCGCTGAGAGAGATGCCCCTGTCCCTCAAGATCTGTGCTTCAACCTCAATGCCAGCGACAATGAAACAGGATAGTAAACCAGTCCTTGGGAAAGAAAAAATGGATGATCTTGAAAAGCCTGCAGGGCATCTGCCAGCCAGCTATTGGCCACCAGTGCACCCACTGCTTCTGGCAGAGGATCTCTGCAAATAGAGACAAAACATGTCCAGTTTGTTGTTGAACCTGGAGGCCAGGAGGTTCACATTCGACATCTCCCACTTGTCACAGGTACTAGAACACCTCCGGACAAAGTTTCTGATCTCCCATATCCAGGCACTGGAGGCCAAGGCAGGGCACCTGCCAATTGTCCACAGTAGGTACGTAAATGGCAAACAGCTGGAACATTTCGTTTTACTCAGGACAGATTCTTTTGACCTCTTTTCATTGCAAGAACTCTGGTTCCTCCCTGATCATTTATGTACGCCACAGCAGTGGTGTTGTCCAGTGAAAGCCTGCTTGGATGACCTTCCAGTAGGGATGTTCAGAATTGTAGAGACAACCGTATAGCCTTAAGTTCCAGAATGAGAATTGTGAGATGAGATCTCTCTGATGCCCAAATCCCCCGTATTGACTTGAGACCTAAATCACCAGGACTGTTCTGCCAAAAGGTATTGGGGTGATGACCCCCCTGCTCCAGAAGAACCACAAGAGCAGCATCAAGATGTGCTAAAATCGATGACGCAGGCAGGATCTAGTCCCAAACATCTGAGATATTGACAGCCCAGATGTCTACAAAAGGCTAACAGATATCCCCTCACTTTGGAAAGTGGGAGTACCTCTTCATACTGAAGGTTTGTCTAAAAGGTTAGGGAAACTCCGCCCACGGTTTATGGATAACTGGGGACCAGGTTTGGGTTTGGAGGTTGAGAGCTGAGAGTAACAAAAGGAAGTCTTCGATCAGGGGTGAACCTTCCTGATCTGAGGTCTAGGCTTTTTCTGCTGAGGCAGGCGATTACTTTTACTCCCAGTGACATCCTTGACAAGGGTGTCCTGGGCAGCGAAGGATAGAGACATTGTCCCCTGAAAGGTATGTGTAGCAAAGGCCTTTTAAATGTCTGTTGTGTAGAGTTTTTTCGTTCTGTAACCAAAGAGTTCTTATATTACCCAACAAGAGAGCCATGCAAGAAATGAGACGAGAGACATCTGACAAACTGTATACACAGCAGCTTAGAATACCAAATGATCAATAAGGAATAGGATCAGCTTGGGAGGGGGCCAGATGCCTTCTCATAGCCTTTGTCCAGTTGGCTGGAGTTTGACAAGCTAGCACAACAGTCTAGGTAGTTTGCAAGGCAGGACGTGCCAGAGAAAAAAAAGTTTTTGGAAAAGATCCCCAGTCGCATTTTGATAGGATCACTAAACAAAGGCGCATCATCCATGGGCATAATCAATAACTTGATGTGAGATA